GGTTGTTGACAGCAATGTAAGATGAAGAAATTTGAGCTTTCAGGCTGACAAATAATTTAACTATCTAGGCTTCAGAAGGAAGGCTGCTTGGTTTGTTTTGCCAGCTATCTAGATATTAGAAATATAAAACATCACGCGACAGCACTCTTAAAGAAATTTAAGTAGTTTCTTTTTGCATGCCAGTCTCCTCTGGTGGCTTTATAGCCTTTGCAGTTGCAGAGTGCCCTTGGGAAGATTAAATCATGATTTGCCAATCTTTGACACAAAGTAAAATGTAGGCAAAGGCTTTTGGGCCTGAGACTTACAGGATATCATGCCAGGACATGCCAAAGAAGCTCTAGGAAGATGGAAATGCTTGTGGGTTTATTAAGAAATGCAAGGAATGTGGAGTATTTCACTTCAATAAATGTCAGTCTCTGGCTTCCAGCTCACTGCTGCTGAGACAATTTCCTCTTACTTGAGCAGAAGTCTGGGAGGGTAACAACCAAGCTAGGAAATGTTGGCTATTAGCCTCTGTCATGAACTGGAGGAAAAAAAACCACATATCGATGTTTTTTTTCCTTTCCAGTAATTCCATCATCTTTGAGATATTGACACAGGAGTAGAAATCTGATTAGTAGTGGAAAATAAAGGCGCCTTAACCTTTCAGAGGCTAAAGTTCACCCTGAATAACAAAGTAGAACTTAGTGCCAGGGGGTGCTTACTGCACAGAAGGTCAACAGCAAAAAACATACAGAAAATGGGCCAAAACTCTGCAAATGCAATTCATAAGCAGCTTCAGCAGAAGAGAAAGGGCCCAAATGGTTGGAGAAGAGGGCAAGGACATAGAGGGATGGCACTGCAGTGTCAGATAAGCTGAACTCCTTCCCCCTTGATATTTGAAGCCACAATAAAGAAGACTTCTATCAACCCAATAGATGTTTCCCTAGGTCAGAGTGTCCTTCCCCCAGCTACTCGCTGGGAAGTTTCCTGTATTTGTCATCCATGGAATGAAGTCCCATCATCTGTTTTTGCACCTTACCTGTACTCCTGTATCTCCTGGACAGCCTGGGGAAGGGGAACGTGTCCCCAGAGTCATCATGTGCTGCCCCATGAAAATGCTGGGGGGGTTTGGCCTTCATTCCAATTAACTGGAATTGGCAGCTCGGTGGCCAACGAGTACCCAGACACTGAAGGGCATTTTAATACCAAATCCACGAACAAATCAATTTACTGCAGTAAGCTACTTAGGGGGCCCATCTGGTAGCTGCTAATTTACAGACCGGGCCATCTGCCACTGTCACAAGCAGGGGAGAACTAGAAAAGTTACCCAACATAACCAACAGTTTAGCTTTGTTTACATTTTATTTATTTATTTATTTATTTATTTTCCTCAACGCTGTGGTTTGTTCCGCTGCGAACTGCCAGCGACGGCAGCGGTTTCTCTTCCAAAATCCACTTTTTTCAAACCTTGGATCATCTTGTGCAGCTGGGAGACGCTGCTGCTGTGACTCAGCGGTTGTCCCCGGGTGTGTTTCTGCAGCATTCAAGCTGCTGACAGCAGGATGGGTCGGGATGCTGTGTTTCTTACCCAGTGCCTGCATATTTTAGCTTGGTGTGACAGCATACGCGCAAAACGTAGTTGAAATGGGTGTTATTAAAGCCTGACTCCTCTTGAGATGCAGAATGCCTTCTGCTCTAGTGAAAACAAGGAGGGGAAGAGAGGCTGCTTGAGGGTCGGAAGGCTCTACAGAGGGATCTGGACAGACTGGATCCGGTGTTTTTGGTGGGTGTTTGGTGTGGTGTGTTTTTTTTTGTTTTTTTTTTTTTTGTGGTTGGACTCGATGATCTCAGAGGTCCCTTCCAACCACTAAGATTCTGTGATTCTGTGATAGGGAGTAAATCTGTTAAGAGCCACAGATTTGTTCTCTGTTTGAGTCAGTTTGGAACATGTGTGGGGAGAGAGAGGTGGAAGGTAGTTTGCACATTCTTCAGGAAAGGTCAGCTCTGAACAGTGATGTTTTTGGAAGTCCTTGTGTGAGAAATGCTGGCTCACACCTGGAATTTAAAGAGGACAAAGCTGCTGAAGCAAAGGTATAGAAATTTATTATACGAAACAGCGCTGAATCGGGTGCATCTCAAAGTAGAGGCACACACCCTTTTGGTTTCTTAGGTATCTTTATACTCCTGAGTTACTGTCTCCCTTCTCATTGACTGAGAAGTTGGAGCTCACATTCTTCCAGACCGCCTAACCTATTATAGATAAAGCACATTTTGTTCTACAAAATTATTATTCTAAACACCTTGCTATATGCTTGCCATCACCTGCTGTCCAATATTCGTGGTTACAAGTATTCTGGTGGTCATATCTTCATTAGTTACCCTCCAGGTGGCCTTCGTCCACTTATCAGTCTCCACTGTCCGTTGTCCACTTACCACTCTTCACCGTCCGTTGTCCACTTATCAGTCTGCCACCAATTTTTGGTTAGCCTTCACCTAGATAACACTTCACAATCAAGACCCCCTGGACAGCCCCAAGGGCCTCCAAGGAGCAGTCGGACACAAGGGATAAGACTCCACTATAACTGAACTACCTTTATCAATACAGACATGCTAACAGAGAAAAGAAAAAAATAATATCTCAATTAGCTGAAGCAAAATTCAGCCTGTTTCTCACACTTGCAAAATGTGCCATGTCAACGTGGGGTCAGTCAAGCACTGCTGGTGCTCAGGAGGCTGTGACCACCTCAGAGTACAGCTACTCATGTCTGGAATAGGATGTGTCCCCTGGCACACGTCTTCTGTGTGTCTAAGTCTTCAACTTAGAATCATAGAATGGTCTAGGTTGGAAGAGACCCTTGGGATCATCGAGTCCAACCATCTCCCCTACTCTACAAAGTCCTCCCCTACACCATGTCCCTCAGTACCCCATCTAAACGGCCCTTAAACACATCCAGGGATGGTGACTCCACCCCCTCCCTGGGCAGCCTGTTCCAATGCCCGACCACTCTTTCTGTGAAAAATTCCTTCCTAATGTTCAGTCTAAACCTCCCCTGTTGGAGCTTGAAGCCATTCCCTCTCGTTCTGTCACTTGTCACCTGTGAGAAGAGACCAGCACCAACCTCTCTACAGTGTCCTTTCAAGTAGTTGTAGAGAGTGATGAGGTCTCCCCTCAGCCTCCTCTTCCTCACACTAAACAGTCCCAACTCCCTCAGCCGCTCCTCATACGATTTGTTTTCCAGCCCCCTCACCAGCTTCGTTGCCCTCCTCTGCACTTGCTCCAGCACCTCGAGATCTCTCTTGGATTGAGGTGCCCAAAACTGGACACAATACTTCTCTGATGTCGTGCCTGTGCAACCTGAATGCTTAGTTAAGGCCAGTTTAATTTCTTTTTTTTTAATTTCTTCTCTTACTCTGTGGCATCCACCTCTGTGAACACTCATCTGCTCTAGTTGGGCGCTCTCCCCTGCACGAGTGAGCTAATGGTTGTTTTTGTTCAAGGTCTACATGACTAGGCCTCATCATCTGCTCTTGGTGGATGCCAACTCTCACAGAGCTTGTAACTCGGATACCATTTCTTATTTTAAAGATGATGTGGTGAAGCTGAGCTAGATGTCTGACTACAGTAGAAAATTCCAACTGGGAAAAGCTTTAGTTTTCCTTTGAGAACGTATTTATGTGCCCTTCAAAAAGGGCTGGAATTTAATCCGTGCTTGTTTTGTGCTGACTGGGTAATGTTTTAGGCTCTGGCAACCTGAGCAGCAGAGGTGGTGGCATATAGGATTTACATATTCTTCAACTGTTAGCTGTGCAGATGGTGAAAACTGAATCAGTGCAATAGACCCAACACTGATCTTCTGAAGGTTTGACCCTGAGAACTCCTTTGGGCTTCCCTGGATTAAGATGGAAGGTCACCCTAAGAGGGAAAAAAACTCAGCAACAACAAAGCCCTGCAAAATCAGCTTTTTTTTTTTTTTTTTTTTTTTTTTTTGACAAGGCAAAGACCCGAAGCCTTTCCTTACTCCATGAGACTAATGGTATTCTGGGAATAAATGGGGACAAAGGCTGGAAGTTTGGGGCTGCAATTTCTTTTGCATCTCAACATGCTTTTCCTCACTTACTGTGATTGAACGTGTAATCCTTAGGGGGCACATTAATTGAATTCTCTATCAGACCCTGCTTTAAGAACTGGGAGGGCCCAGAGGAAAGATTACCAACGGGGGTCCTGTGGCTAATGTGGTTAAAAATTATTTGGCTGCCAAAGAGAGAATGTTGCTGTTCTCTATTGTATTTCTCTGCACAGAGATAACACTGTTGCTGACTACAGAAGTGACAGGTCATACATGTTTAATTTGAAGGGCTATAAAAAGAAACTTGCAGTAGGACTGCTGGCTGGGAATTTAATAAATAAAAGTTATTATCAGAGCTCAGTATAATCCCAAGGATATCTCTTTATGTACTCTTCTTGGAACCCAAGCTATCAGAAAATTAAGCTAGGAAGTTGTTGTGTTAAAAGCAGATTAGATCTGAAAGGCAGAATTATCTTTTTTTTTTTTTTATGATGATGGAATTTGGGTGCTGCTCACTGATCTGTTTTGTCCTCACAGAGCTTGCACGTCAATACTGCTGGAGTATTTTACAGCTGGGTAACTCCAGGCTCAAACAAAATAACCAGCCCAAGGTTACCCTGGGGCTCTTTGTAATGGTTGGTGGTGGGTGCTGTGCCTATTAAGCTGTCATTATCTCTTGGTACTTTCCTGTTGGAGTCATAATGAACACGATGGCTATTTATGTGATTGAAAGGATCCTTCAGGTGGAGCTATTTGGGTTTAAGTGGCTGTGAAGACACAGGCTCTGCCCCAGCTGTGTCTCATTTCTTACAAGGCTATAAATGAGGTTGAAAGGTGGTGTGTTGGCCTTGATGGGGGTAGGTGGGGGTAAGGAGAGAAGAAGGAGAAGCTCTTGGTTATGAAACCTACATCTGGTTTTCTGTGTTTTGGTCTTCCTGTTATGTTATGCAGGAGTATGAGGATGGGTTTCATGTCCCTGGTGTCATGGAGGGTTCCTCAGGCCAGATGTTGGACTCCCTGGGCCTCTGCTGCTGAAGGACTCTGGGGTTTTGTGATGATCCACAGGCTCCACTAGAAGATGCGTTAATATTTCCGATTTAGACCTGAATGTGAAGAATGACACATCCCACTGTAAGTGTTGTAAGATTACAAAATACATTTTGGGGGGTTTAGTCTGTTTAATTGAAGTCTGTGGTTTGTTTTTGCCTGCTTTGGTCAGGAATGCACTCCTGGGAGAGGCACTGCACCTCCTGCAGTGTTTAAACCCGGGGAAATCGGCCACAGCACCAGGAGCTGTGGTTTCCTTCTGTGATCCCACAGCTTTTCCACTGCTCTGAGCCTGGTGTTGCTGAAGTGATAAAACAACTGCTGTAAATAAGTCTCAAATATTCCATCAGTGCACCAAGGCAAAGAGTTGAACGTAGATACCACAGTGGACTTTTTGTCTCTGAAAGTAAGTTGAGTAGCTACCCAGGTCTTACAGCTTTGCAATGGGAGTGCTTCAGCCTCATTTGGGGCATTCTGCACTGAAAACAGACCAACAAAAGTTCCTCCTGTTTCTTGGTCTGGAAGATATTCCATGGGTGATCAAAGTTCCTTTCTCTTTTGAATAAGTTAATCACTGACTTATTTTTGTGGTTATTGCTCGCGTTATTGTAAATTTCTTTGCTCAGTAAAATTTTAGGTGTGTCTTTAAGCCACGTTTTTCACCTATAACTTTAAAGCTTTGCTTCCCTATTTTATGGAGGGAGTAAAATCTTGCTGAAAGTATCCTGAAAAGTCTTGAGTAGAGATGTATGCAAACTATACATATGTAGGGAGTTTTTGCACCATGAGGGGAAAGATCCTTCTAAGAGGTGAAATGTACCTTTAAAAACTGTTCAAGAAAGAAGCAATTTCCTCATGCTGAGCCTAGGCTCCTCTGTTTGTTTTTTGAGAATTATTGCTGCCTATCACTACCCCTGTGTGTTTAAGCTTGTAAAATAATCATGTAGAAGCTCAAGGGATTGGCAGTGCAATCATCTAACAAGTTCTAATAACACGTTGTCTGTTATCTTTGAGCTGGCCATCAAGTTTTTTTGCTTTGCTGGTTCCTTTGATGCAGAGAAGAGCAAAGTGCCAGCTGGCAGTGCTTGGTTTTTGGGTACTTGGAAGGTCCCATTAGAGCTTTTCTTTTCCTTGCCTTAGGAAATAGGTTTAAGTTAGTCCAACAAAGAATTCCAGGATCTTCCCAAGTCAAACCAACTTGGTTGGACTTGGACTTCTGTGAATAGAAATGGACATCTTAGAGGCAAGAGTGTGTACAGTGGGTAACAGATAATCTCTCTGGTAAACAGATGGGTGAGACTGAAGTACTAGACACAGACCCAGGTGTGAAGTGCTTTGTCTGTTCAATTAGTCATGAAATTTTGTGTTTCATTTAAGAAGAAGCAAGGGGAAATTCAAGAGTCAAACGGGTATGAAAGAGGAAGCTGGTGTGAGACTTGAAGTGGTACATAAGATGAAAAAAACCCCAGTAATTTCCTATTTTCTTCTGTTTGCACTGGTTTCAAATGCCAGTGTGAGAGGTAGGGCATGAAGCATTGGGGATTGCTTGTTTTCCTTGAACTGGGCACTTCTGAGATGTTTGGTGTCACTCTATTTGTCAGATAATCTTTTAAGAAATAAATCCATTATGACATGGGTTCTCCAGATTCCTAAATGCAGCCATATCTTGGGGCTGCTGAGCCTTTGTTTTTCTACGAACAATGAGCTCTTAAATGCAGTTCTGTGTAAGAGATTGGAGAACGTTTCCCTCAAACTCAGTAGAAAAATGTCATACATGGCAAAATGACTTATTTTTAGGGTTGATGTAAATCTTGAAATGAAATAGTTCAACTAATCTTGGGGCTGCTGAGCCTTTGTTTTTCTATAAGCAATGAGCTCTTCAATGCAGTTATCTGTAAGAGATTGGAGAACGTTTCCCTCAGACTCAGTAGAAAAATGTCATATGTAGCAAAATGACTTATTTTTAGGGTTGATGTAAATCTCGGAATGAAATAGTTCAACTTAATCAAGCAATGCAGTGTTTTAATGAAGCTGCCACGAAAGAAGTTAGGACTATAGTTGTGTTCATTATTGCATAGAATAAATCTTTCAAGCTCTGCATATAAATAGGAACACAAGGTAAGCTGAATTGCCTATTTCTAGGCTCCACAACATATCAAGGCTTTAAGACTTGCAGTGTGACAAAAGGTGGTCTTTCTGTCTTTTCCCAGCAAAATAACATTATCATGCTCCTAAAGGGACGTGGGTGACTATTTTTGTCAGTCAGGTTGATGGTTGGACAAGATGATCTTTAAGGTCCCTTCCAACCTAGAAGATTCTGTGATTCTGTATTTGACACTCAAAATGACTTATTTTTAGGGTTGATGTAAATCTCGGAATGAAATAGTTCAACTTAATCAAGCAATGCAGTGTTTTAATGAAGCTGCCACGAAAGAAGTTAGGACTATAGTTGTGTTCATTATTGCATAGAATAAATCTTTCAAGCTCTGCATATAAATAGGAACACAAGGTAAGCTGAATTGCCTATTTCTAGGCTCCACAACATATCAAGGCTTTAAGACTTGCAGTGTGACAAAAGGTGGTCTTTCTGTCTTTTCCCAGCAAAATAACATTATCATGCTCCTAAAGGGACAGCTTTAGCTCTAGTGTATTTGAGCTCAACTGGTATGAATTTGAGTTGGAGTCTGTGTATAGACATTTAACTTGGTCCTTGCTGAATCCTTCTTGGGGACATTCATTTGACACTCACCCCATTTTCTGCAATATAATTCCCCTCACTGCCCCTCTTGCTAGGGCTTCCTATGGAGGCTTTATGTACAGGTAAGCTTCAGCTGGTGTTGCTCTGAGACTACTCTTCACCCTCCCTACCTGAAATCTGTGATTCTGTATTTGACACTCAACCCATTTTCTGCAATATAATTCCCCTCACTGCCCCTCTTGCCAGGGCTTCCTATGGAAGCTTTATGTACAGGTAGGCTTCTGGCTGGTGTTGCTCTGAGACTACTCTTCACCCTCCCTACCTGAAAAGGGGTGTCTTTTTATACCATAACATCTTCGAGAGCTTTGAGCCCAAAGGACTCCACGCCCTCCCTGGGCAGCCTCTTCCAGTGCTCCGTCACCCTCACCGTAAAGATGTTTCTCATGTTTCAATGGAACTTTCTGTGTTCCAGCTTGAGCCCGTTCTTTTCCCAGCAAAATAACATTATCATGCTCCTAAAGGGACAGCTTTAGCTCTAGTGTATTTGAGCTCAACTGGTATGAATTTGAGTTGGAGTCTGTGTATAGACATTTAACTTGGTCCTTGCTGAATCCTTCTTGGGGACATTCATTTGACACTCACCCCATTTTCTGCAATATAATTCCCCTCACTGCCCCTCTTGCTAGGGCTTCCTATGGAGGCTTTATGTACAGGTAAGCTTCAGCTGGTGTTGCTCTGAGACTACTCTTCACCCTCCCTACCTGAAAAGGGGTGTCTTTTTATACCATAACATCTTTGAGAGCTTTGAGCCCAATGGTGGCACAGCCCTCAGGGGTGTCAGCCACCCCTCCTAATTTGGTATCATCAGCAGACTTGCTGAGGATACACTCTGTCCCCTCATCCAGGTCAAATTCACTCCAGGTGAGGTTGTTTTGAGGGTTTGTTTGCACCCACCCCCCCATAACCTGTAAGTCTGGTCCTTGCAGTGATGGTAGCACTGTGCCACTCATCCTATTTCCTCTCCACACTGCCTTCAGGCTTTCCTACAGTGAAGTGCTCTGTGCCCAAATAAACTATTAAGATCAATGGATGATCATCAACACTTTATTTTTTTTTTTCATGCAGGGAGCAGAAACTTTACCTCCCAAAGCTCTCTTCTCCCTTGGGTTTAACCTGTCACCTCTGGAGCGTTGATGTAAATTGCCATCCCTCAGGGCTTTAATTTTTTAGCTGCTCTGTTGTGACTGCTGCCCAGCCACAGGTGGTGTACTCTCCTTTGAAATAAGTGGCTTCTGATGAAATTTTTAGAGTCATATATTGATTTGACACTAGAAAACACAGAGGAAAAGCACGATAAAATGTTAAATGACCTGCAGTGCCACCGAGAGAAGAATCAGAGAATGATGTTACTACAATTCTGCCTCCAAGACCAAAGATTTTGTGTATTAGGGACTATAAATGAAGTGATATGAATGGTGGCTACTATGAACGCAGTGTAAATCACAGAATCTTCTAGGTTGGAAGGGACCTTAAAGATCATCTTGTCCAACCGTCAACCTCACTTTGACAAAAATAGACACCAGCACAACAAACAAGGAGCATCATCACTAAACCATCCCTCCCAGCACCACATCAACCCCTCTTTTGAACACCTCCAGGGATGGGGCCTCACCCACCTCCCTGGGCAGCCCATTCCAATCCCTGATAACCCTTTCAGTCAAAAAAATCGTACTAATATCCAGCCTGAACCTCCCCTGGTGCAACTTGAGGCCATGTCCCCTCGTCCCGTCGCCTGTGACTTGAGAGAAGAGCCCGAGCCCCTGCTATCTAGCCCCTCCTTTCAGGGAGTTGGAGAGAGCAATCTTAATGGTATGAGCTTCAACAAGGGCAAATGACATTGGGGTGAAGGACTGAAGGTGAGATCACACCCTGTTGGCTTTCAGGGTGGTCTCCCCCAGCTGCAGGCCTGTGTACCATCTTCAAGTGAGCAGCCAGGGATGGGTCAGCAGGTCCAAGCAGGACCTCGCTGCATGTGGCTTGGAGGACAGCAGGAAACAGTGGTGTGAGCCCTGGTGGGCTGAAGACTTTAACTCAATTCCTCTTGCAGATATTACACCCTCCTTTCAGGGAGTTGGAGAGAGCAACCTTAATGGTATGACCTTCAACAAGGGCAAATGACATTGGGGTGAAGGGCTGAAGGTGAAATCACACCCTGTTGGCTTTCAGGGTGTTCTCCCCCAGCTGCAGGCCTGTGTACCATCTGCAAGTGAGCAGCCAGGGATGGGTCAGCAGGTCCAAGAAGGAGCACTCTGCATGTGGCTTGGAGGACAGCAGGAAAAAGTGGTGTGAGCCCTGGTGGGCTGAAGACTGTAACTTAAATCCTCTT